CATTCATTTCACATTCAAATGTTCATTCCCAAGAACGGCACCAAAGCCAACCACACATGGACTTGTGCACATGGATATTAATTGAAGTTAATCATGTCCATCATAGGTTTCCATCACAGGTCCAATTGTGTCCTACAGGTGGAAGGTAAGTTGGTAGTGCTTTCTACATTTGCCGCTTGTCAACTTGTCCAGACCCTCTTGACCATACACACACCTGTTCCCATGATTCCCTGAGTAAATCATAGAAGAGAAAGCAAAGCGATTCACCCTGAGAACCCAGGAGAACGGAACTGGACTAGAAACCATTCTTTTACATGATCTTCTTCTAGAGAGTATGCAATTATACTACCTAAGACCCTGGCTCTTTCTGGTTTTACTGGAATCTGAGCTGGTCCAGCAGACCTAACAAAGCCCCAGATCTCTCTTCATTAAGATGGTATGCTAGCCTCAAGGCCAGGCAGAAACCACTCCCCACTGTGGGAGGCAGTATGGTGTACAGAGGCGAGCCTGGTGGGAGATGCCAGGCATGGGTGGTTTCATCTCAACCTTGCCATTTCCTTCCTATGTGATGTCTACAAAATCACCTCACCTCAAAACTTCCAGATGGGAGCATATGACCTATCATCTTTCAGAGTTGTCGTGATGGAGTATGTCAGGTGAAGTACCAGTGGAGAAGCCTAGACCACAACCCACAGCTACTCTGTTTACACGGAGCCCATTTTCAGTTTTGGCATCGGTTCCCAAGAGCATCTGCAATCTGAGCACAGGTCGCTTAATCCAACTCTCCAAAGCTTGCTCCATGGGAATGTTACTGGTGTTTAAGACCAGTCCCAACTCTTCAGGGCTGTATTTCACCACAGAATATCAACTCCTCTGGCCTCCCTTCACTATCTCAGTCAGGTTTTCTATTGCTGTGATAAAACACCATGACCAAAAACAACCGGGAAGTGAGGTTGTTCATCTTACAACTCCAAGTAACAGCCCATCACTAGACGATCAGGGCATGAATTCCAATAGAGCAGGAACCTAGAGGCAGAACTGAAGCAAACGCCTTGGAGGAACATTGATTACTGCTTATTTCTGGTGGCTTGCTCAGCTTGCCTTATGGCACTCAGGCCCGCCTGCCCAGGTGTGACACCACCCCTATGGGGCTGGACTTCCCCTATCAATAATGAAACAAAAAATGCCCCCCAGAATGGCCTGTAGCCAATGACATTTTCTCAATAGTGGTTCTCTCTTCTCAATGACCAGCTTCTATCAAATTGACAAAAATCTAAGCAGGACACTATACGCTCCCCAGGCAGTTCCACTTCTAAAATGCTATGTCTGTCCACATTCCCTTGGGGCATTTCTCTCCTGAGAGAGTCATAGGCCCAGTGAGAACCAGGAGGGAAGTATGCCCTTCCCAGAGAAAGGACAGGGGCATTTACAACATTGTCACAGCTCCTGTCTCTCAACTACCTTGACCCCCAAATTCCCTTATCCCCATATGCCTTGTTAGAAGAATCTTTTGAGTCTTCAGGGCCATTTAAATTCCTTAAGCACAATCCTTTGACCCAAATTTTTTACAAACTAGTAGACTAGAGGAAGAAGTGGTTCCTATGACAGAAGGTCAGATGCCCAAGAGAAAGAGTGATCTGAAGACACCAAGACCTCCTCAGGATTCTCTGCTATGTGATATGGGGGGTGGCACCCTGGTCCATCCTGCTGAAGCACAAGGTGAATCAGTAGGATTTTCAGCACAGACTCTGACTGACATACATTGATGCTGCAAAGAAAAGGGTCTTGCTTGCAAAAACTACATGCAACATAGATGACAAAATTCACTTGAAAGGCTTTCAAACATATATAATAACACATACATATATAATACACACACATATATAATGTATCTATGAATATAATGTATATTAGTTCATATCAGCTATATAGTTGTTATATGATTAGCATATGGTATATGAAACTGACAAACATAATGATAATATGGTGTGTAAAATTAATATGTACTATATAAATTAATAGCTTTTTAAATTAATAAGTGATGACTTTCCCAGAGTAAAACAGTCAAGGAAAATGAGAAAGCAATTTTACAAAATAGTGAAACTTGTTGAATTGAGATGCCACAATCCACCTCTCAGACTAGAGCCATAGTGTGCAGCATTCACAAGAGCAAGGAAGGACTTTGATACACTAATAATGGGAGCATAGAGTAGTAGGAGCTCTTTCCAGACCACGGTTGAGCAAAACATTTTAAAATCCCTAAACTAGGGGCTGGAGAGATGGCTCAGTGGTTAAGAGCATTGCCTGCTCTTCCAAAGGACCTGAGTTCGATTCCCAGCAACCACATGGTGGCTCACAACCATCTGTAATGAGGTTTGGTGTCCTCTTCTGGCCTACAGACATATATGCAAACAGAATAGTGTGTCCACAATAAATAAATAAATATTAAAAAATAAAAAAAAATAAAATCCCTAAACTAAAAATGGGCATACTTTGAACAAGAAATTGCACTTCGAGAAGCTTAATCTTAAAAAGTACTTGTAATCCAAAGTGGATTTGTTACCGTTAATGCTCGCTTGGCAGATGAGATTGCTTATTTATTGCAAACTGTAACTATCACCTTGAAGACACTCATGTTTAAATAGATCTTATAATAAGGGAAAATCCCTAGATATCCTCAAGGGTTTTGTTTTTATCATTACCTACAAGGATGAAAAGTGAGAGCCTCAGGAACTCACAATAGGTGATTGATTTAAGGGAATAGTTCTCATAGGCCAGGAAGCCAAACTAATAAGATATTATTAAATATGAGATTTCCAAACACTATGTTAAAATGTGTCTCTGTAAAAAAAAATGTATTGGAAAGTATAAACAAGGAATATTAACATTTATCAGTGAATGATATAAGAGGTAAATTTCTTTGTTTCCTTTTTGAATATCTGCATTTTCTAAAATGTCTATATTGGCCTAAAAATCCTAAATGTTTTTTATCACACTTACTAATTTTTACTTTATAACCTGTTTCTGCAGACACAGCATCTAACCAGAAGTGTAAAATCCCTGAATAAAGATCCAAAGTCTGTCTGTCTTCATAAACTACTCATATATTAGTTTAATATCTTGAATAAGTGCAACAATTACTGCTTATTGAGTTTTTGTCATGTGGCAGACACATCATGCAGTACAGTAAAATTCAAAAGACATTTGTTGATGGGGGTGACAGACGGCAGGATGAGAAGAGCAGAAGCCCATCACTATGAGTGAAGTTTGTAGCTCGCATCTCTCAGAGACCAGTTCTCGTTGGGGGCCTTCTGACCACCAGGCTATAGGGTTCTGCTAGACTAGCAGAACTTCCCTTAATGGAAGGATCGTAGGGGGGGGAGGATCATTCTAAGACCCTATGTCTTAGTGAGATACGCTGTATGGAGGATAAGGTCTGATGGGAACTACCTGGTAGAATTTAAAACTTACTTTGGAAAGTTTTTCTACAGGAGTCAAGAAAACTGAAATTTACGTGACCTTTACATGAGACAATTCTGACCTTGGAAACTTTTCATTTATTTCTAAGACCCTTCCCTGGGCACAGAGCATCACCCCTAGAGAGCGAAAAGCGAATAAGTAGCTCCTGGGAGTCCACCAGCCATTCTAGGCTGGCTGGCTCTGGAGGTGAACTCCTGGGTCTGTGGTGGTGGGAGGGGGGGGGGGGAATGGGAGGAGGGTCATTCCCTGGGGATAGAAAGTGAAGGAGGCACCAAGAGAATCGAGTTTCCAAAAGACAGCCATGACTTCCCTAGGCCCACTTTGGGGAACAACGGCAGTCCTGGCTGCAGAAACAACCCAGGAAAGTGTGGACAGGTGTGATCTGGTGTGTCTGGGGAAGGACACATGCTTATTCTGCTCCACTAACTCTGGAGCACTTCATGGGGAGCGCAAGTGACCCAGAGACAAGTTCCTCATCACTGGTCTCTTCCTGGCGCCAGCACTTTCCTGCTATAACCCCAAGCAGGTGGAGCCTAAAACAAAATAGCATATGCCCTCATTCTCAGAGATGTGGGGGGAAGATGGGGTTGAGGGTCATGGTCACTTGAGTGACTGCTTTAAAAAGAAGCTGAGAGGAGCATCTGGGAACCCACCTCAGACCTGCTGCCAGCCAAAGCAAACATTCCTAAAGGAAGCTGACCCACAGCTAGCTCCATCTCCCAGGTGGGCTCAGCTCCCAAGAGGATAAAGATGCCAGGCCTTGAAAAGCTGTTTCAAAACAGCAGAAACTCAGAGTAAGACTGGAGGCCTGACCTTTTCAAATGCTGGCCTCCAGTGACTGAACTCGGTGGTCAGCAACCTGAGGACAGTCCCAGCCCCTTATGTCTCTCCCCTCTTCGTGAACATTTTGGAGCAGGAGAAAAACAAATCACTTGGAATTCCCAAAACACAGCTCCCTGACACCCCAGCTTTTTTTTTCTCTGAAACATTCCAGTCACAATGGGCATCATCCCTCCCTACCTGTCTGCCTGCAACCCGCCACTGAGAGCTCAGGACTCTAATAGGATCTTGCTCTAGGACTCTCTAGTGCTCTCTCCCTCCCTCCTGTTAGTCTTTTGACCTCACATCTCAGTCCCTAAACTTCTGACTTGTCTGTTACTCTTTGTCTCTGTCTGGCCACTTCCTCCTCGGTCCTTTCCGACTCCTCTTTCTCCTCGTTCTTATCTCCATCTCTGTCTCCATCCATCCTCTTCTACACCTTGCTACCCAAATCTCAGCGTGGAATGAGCCATTCAGAGAGGTGTAATTGAAAACTGACTCCAGGATGCTAGCTAGAGCAATGGAGTAGCAGGGACAGCCCGAACTGGGCTTCCCCAGGCAGGTCAGATTCCCCAGGGCTCCCTCCAGTCAGCACCCTCCGACCCAGATTTCCATGTCCACCCCCTCCCCGCTTAGAACTGGCCACCGCCACCGGAGGGTGTGCGAGGACGCCAAGAACGGCCCGGGTACAAAGTTCTCACCGATAGTGAAGCTGTACCCATCGATGCTGAAAGTGGCGCTCCTACATTTCTTGAAGCCCTCCTTCTTTTGGCTGGCGTCCGTCATGGCTTGTGCCTCCGGGGTCTCAACTCGAGCCGGTGCCCAGCCTTCACTGCACTGTCACGACAGACCCACGCTGGCTACGAGCTGCTCACGGCGGCTGCACGCACCTAGACCTGGGAGCTAACAACCAAGGCTCCCTGTGCAGTCCCTGCGCCCCCGCCACTGCCCCATCTCCAAACGGCTGCAGCTGCTGCGACGGCAGGGGACTGGCGAGACTGCGAGGCTGCGTGTGGCTGTGGGCTGGTCCGGGCTGCCGCGCCCCTTCGCGCTTTGCTCTCTGGAGGCTGGGGGAGGTTGGGAGACCTCGAGGGGATGGCGGGGATTGACGTTCCTGCTTTTTCTAGGTGTGTTTTCTCAGGCAGAGTGGAAAGCTCCCCTAAAGCACACAAGAGATGGAGACGCCAACACCTCAGCCGTCAGACGCCCAAGTTTACTCCAAACAAGGAAGTAGAGCGATTGCCACGCCCACTTCCTCCCACAGCTGTCCCCAGGACTAGCCCAAGCCCCAATAATAGCACTTCTCGGCAGTCCCTGGCCAGAAGATAATTACCAAAGTAACTCTTTTGTGGGTGAGCATTTCTACATGAAAGCCCTAAGACGTGCAATTTACAACCTAACTTAAAGAACCCAAAATCAATCGCTGCTCCTCCGGCTACCCGCCCCCCTCCCATTCAAATTTGTTACCTGTGATGGACTCTGGGGATGTGTGGAGGTGGTCATGTCAAGACTCCTATAGCTAAGGTTCTAGTGACAGAAGAGGGAATCCGGGCACAGGAAGGCTTGAGAAAGGTGCAGACTTGGGACTCAGGTTCTCTTTATGACCCCACAGCACAGCACGAGTCGCTGGGTTTTCCAAATGTCTAAAATGATAACGTTTACCAGACTCGTGCTGAGATGCACAAAGACCAGAGCTGTGTCCCAAAGAGGGACCCTCTCCCACACCCAAGCTATCACAACGGTTAATTCAGCCTCATTTGCTGAGCAGCAATGTGTCACCCTTAACAAAACTCACCAACATTAAGAGTCCAGCAAGTGTGTTGCTAGGCAGTTTCAGGAGACTTCAGAGGAAGAGGACAGTAGATCGGGGACTACTTGAACCCAGGTTGAACATGCCTAGGAAATTTAGTCTTGTATTTTTTAAAAAATTAGTTTGTTATGTCAAATCCTAGCTGGCACTTGAATGGCAAGCTCTCTCAGTGAAAACCTAGAGCCACAGTTAGTCTGATAGTTTGAGGGCAAGATAAATTCGTCATAAAGACAATGGGGTGGCCGACCTCATTTTTCAAAGAATTTGGCCATCTCTTCACCAGAACTAGGGGTGCAGCCAAGTCATGCTGCAATCCTTATCATGTCCAGTCATGTCTGGAAGATGGGAGCATGAGAAGAAGCTCACGGACTGACCTGAGTGTGAGATCTAGGGCCACCACAAGCGAGGTGATCCAAAGGTGTTCAGAGCTCCCAAACTCACGGTCCAGTTCTTTCAGTGAGAATCAGGTGAGGAAGCTGGTCAGGCCTCAGACAGCGTGAGCATTCAGACAAAGTCATGCAGACACCGAGAAGTCTTCTGCGCGACAATAACTATTGTTTCAGCCACCGATTTTACAGGAGGGTTTTATAGGTAACATTTTATATGTATATTGTGTGGATTTTACACAGCAATTAAAGTTTCTAATCACTCTCATTTTTCACACTTTGAACTTTTAAAATAAACATTTGCCTTCTTTGGTCCCAACAAAAGACCTGAAGTAAGGAGCCGAGATACCTGAGCTAACATCTCCCATGCTAAATTATCTAGGGGGGAAACGCCTAAACTGATGGAAATTTTTGCCTGAGTGAGTGAAATTCAAATGATATTTAATCACACTTAACAGGAAAGCTTCTTGAAATATACTCCATCAAAAATAATAACAACGTGATCATTTACCTAAGTGTGGTTTAAAATAACTCACCTGAACAATTAGAACTGTTTAAAGACTCCCCCCCCCCTCCCAGAATGGCACTCTTTCCCTGGCTTTAGAGACTGCACACCTACAGAATCACTGAATTCATTATCTTCTGTCTGAAAGCAGCCTTCTCCGTGCAGAGCTCTCACACCAATGAAACCAGGCGAAGTTCAATGCTAGCATGACATAAGCCATGAAAGGATGCAGTCAGGTCTGAGAGCAAAATGAGCTTGTGCTTGCTCCCTCACAAATGTTCCCTCCAGAAAGACTTTACAGCAAGCAAACCAAGTCAAAGCAACCCAGCAAATGCAACCCCTCTCCCCCTTTGAGTTGAAGTAGATAAACATCGAAAGCCAAGTCCACCCTGCTCTGTTTCTATGAATCCTACGAGCTAAAGGTGGCTGTTACATTTTTAAAGGGTTTGGCACCCTGAGTATAAAGAATTCAAAAGTTGGAAGTGGTGGTGTACTCTTGCAATTCCAGCCTTCAAAAGACTGAGGAAGGAGGATTGCAAATTCAAGACCAACATAAAAAAAAAAAGACATAGAGCAAGACACTGGCTGAAGGAAAAATATTAAACAGATAAATACTTTTATAAAAGACACTAGCTCAAATAAAAAAGCAAAGCCAAGGTCATCTTGAACTCATGGCAATCCTCCTGCTTCATCTACCTAAATGTTGGGATTTACAGATATGCCTAGGTTGCTCATTGGTTTTCAATATTTTTATTTCTAGAAAAAGATGAAGAACTACATAGCGTTTAGGAAATGTTCTCTGGACTTCCAGAGCTCAGCTTGTTCTTGGCTTTCCTTCTGTCCACAGACGATTCTTTTTCTGTTGCTGCTGAGCGGGGACTCAGTCACCTTCCCACTCCCCTCGCTTTGTTCAGTGCCCTCATGCTGACTTTCACACACCTGTCTCAACCTAGCCCACCTGAGAGCAGATATCTTGACGTAGAACTCTCTATCTTCCCATTCCTCCTCCAGAGTTAATTTGGAATACAAAGTAGGGAAGAAAGCTTTCATACACTTTCTCAGGTGCAAGCGACCTTTACCCTCTTCCCAGCTGTTACCAGGGGAGGAGAATCTGTCAGCTAACTGGTTGGTGCTCCAAATCATTCCTTGGGTCAAACTCAGCATGGCAAAAGTCTCTGCAGGGCCTGTCTGGCACCTCTGTGAAGGCTAGAAAAGGGGGCTTTCTTCTCTTGGAAAGTAGCTTCAGTTTGGGACAAACTCAGAGGGCAGTGATTGGCCTCTTGACCAAGGTTGCACACAAAAGCTCTTTACAATGGGTCAGTTCTGGGTTCCCACCGTAATGCTCTCAGAACAGCACCAACGCCACATTGTGACCTCTAATAGTGCCGCTCACATCTGCCCTGCCGTGCACATCAGATGTCATTCTCACAGAATACCCACGAAGTCCTATCAGAACCTCGGTCTCGGGGTGCCTGACATCTCTCCAGACCTTTCCTGTGTTCTTCCCCGGCTCCAGGCTACCACTGACTCTCATAGAAACCCTGACAATAAGTTCTACCCAGCTGGGATGTCTACTACAAGTCATTAAGTAGAAGCTAGGGAGATCTTTTAAACAGAAAATTTTAGTAATGTCCTTCTGCTACCTAAAACACATCAATGACTCTTCATTGAGAATGAAATTTCAGAATAAAGAAAAAGCTCCTTCCATTGCCCCATGTGTCCTTACGGCATCTTGTGGGCGATGTGGAGAACATTGCAACTTAGGCTTTCTCTCTGATGGGGCAGAAGATGCTTTTAAAGGGAAATAGAAGCTAACAGGAAAGTAATTGGAAGCCAGGGAAGGGAAAGTTATACTTATGCCCCCTCACCTGGTCTAATGCACTGGGCTTCCCGCCTTATTCCTGGCTTGTTCAAGGACTTAACTTAGACAAGCCCCAGAAACTCTTCCCATTGCCAACCTCCTGGAGAGGATTCAGGCCTTGCTTCAAGGGAACCAGAAGATAAAAGAGCTAGCAGCGTCCGATTGAGGACCTCCTGCTGCAACTTCTTTGTTAGTCTACTCCGTTAACCTTTATAGGAAGCATTCAAAGTCTCAGGGGCTCCATCCTCCTTCCCACAAAGCCTGTGTGGAATGGAGAAAGCTTTATGCTAAGCCCTAGGGACTGGGAATTCTTCCCTCCCTGGATCCTCTACAGCTAGCTGGTAGAAGGAAGCCAAAGAAGCAAATGGACATGAGGAAGGATTTTAGGGTCTGGGCATGAAAGAATCATGTCCCTACCACCACATTCCCATAACCAGAAATTAGTCATATCACCCCATGAAACCACAAGTTGTTCCAGGAAATTTAGGTTGGGGAGAAAGGTTTTGTAAACACATCCTTTGAAACCCTATCCCTTCCACCCTGTTGACTGAATTTGACTTTTAACTCAGCAGGTGGAGAGGTGGGTTTTAACCTAAGGGCTAAGATAATAATCTGACCCTGAACCAGACTTTAAACTTTGAATTTTAACTCCAGGCTCCCCAAACCAAAGCACCTGACCCCACCACCTTAATATAAATCAATTCCTATTTGTAAAAAATAAGACTTTTATATGTGTCCTATTACTCGCTAATTATATAAAAAATTTTAATGCTGCATTACAGCCTTGACCTTAAAAGAAAGCCAAAAATGTAATTGATTTAGTGGCTGTATATTGCATCATCTTATGACATATAGTTTTCCTTTCTGTAACTAGAAAACACAGATATATAGAAATACAAAAGGGCCAGGATGTGAAAAGACAAAGAAAACAACAGAGAGAAGTTCAGTATATAACCTCCAAAGATGAGCAGGGGATTAGAATACAGAACATCCAAGTTTGCAATGTACGGGGCCCCAGATGGATGACAGAGCAGGTAAAGCCAGTAAACCTTTGCTCTCAGTCCTGGGGGGGAATGGAACTTGGTTTCTCAGATGTCCAGCCTTGGTCAGGCCACTTGTACCAGACTCAGTGCTTAACAAGTCCTGGATCTCACATCAGGCCTCCATTTTGCAGTGAGATTTTCCCAGTGTGGTGCTGAAATCTCCGGAGAAAGTAACTCACTTCAGTGGCAACCTTGGCAACAGAATTACCAAGGGCACCAGGAAGGCTGGAAACCATAGAGCGGAGGTGAAGAGGCAGTCCGAAGGGGGATTGCTGACACAGAGTAGAGGCTGGAATCAGCCAGAATGACTTCTAACAGATATTTTCTCCTCTATCAGCGGTTCGCTGGCAACTAAAGTGATCTAAAGGAACTTTGATCTAAAAAGAAAATTGATATAAAAGAACTTTCTCCCAAGCTAGTGATTCATCTCAAACTAGATAGCAAGCGTGTTCTTTAATTACCAACTTTTCTGCATTGGGTGTGTTTTCTGATGATGATGGCAATAATAGGAATGCTGATATTTGGAAGAAAATGTCAGAACAAAATGTGAAGGAAAGGAACAAACTATGAAATAAGCT